GTAGATTTATTTGAATCATGCTCTAGCTCTTCAGAAAGTCAAAAAGTGGTTTAACAGAAACCCTGACAATACTTCATCTAATAAAAGTAAACTAAAAATTAATATGAAAGTAAATAATAATCAAAAATAAATAATAATTGTTGACAATGCATCATTTAACAAAAAAAATAATGAAATATTAGATCATTGCAAAAGTTTGTGTCTAATTAGAAAAATAAACTTTTCCAATGATCTAATATTTCATGTTAATTTTTTAGTTCATTTTTTATTGTTGATTAGTATTTATTTTAATATTTATTTTATTGAACAAAGCTTTGTCAAATATTATTATTCATTTTTGCATAATATTTATTTTAATTTTGGTTTTATTAAATGAAGCTTCGTCAACTATTATTATTAATTTATTTTTATTACAAATTTTCTACAGTTCAGCTATTTTATGACAGTTGGCTGTAAGTGTGGATTGGAACTAAAGAGCCATGGGTTCAAATCTCAAATATTTGTTATTTTTATTTCTAATCTCTACCATTTATTCGCATAAAAGTAAATACTAGTCAAAAATTAATAATTATGATTGTTTTGATGCTGTCTTTTGAAATCTCATACAAAATATCTTTCTTCCAGGTGACCATGTCTTTGTCACAAATGTCTCTCATTATTCTTGATCTTTAATGATCAAAATAATTGAGTTTTCTCATTGCTTACAGTCATGATTTGTCTCTCTATGGCACTGTTAACACTACAAATGGTGTGATAAAATCTCTCAAGCTGCATTAACTGATTGAAAAGTAAATTTATTAGTAAAAACATACCTGTAATCTTGGTTCATGTCTGCTTTGTTTGGTAGTAATTCACATCTTAGGTATCATGGATCACTTCAAAATATATTCAGTTTCCTTATATATATCTTATTGATCTCCTCCTCATTTCTTCTTCCTCCTTTTTCTTTTTCTTTTCTTCCTTCTATTTATTCTCTTTTCTTCCTTCCCTTCATTCTCTCTCTTGTTGCTTTTTTTCCTTTCTCACTCTCTCTTCCTTTTATCGTTTTATACTCTTTTTAGCGCTTACACATTTCTTTCTTTGTCCTTTATCTTTCCCCTGTATTTCTTTAAGGTCAAATCTACAATCAAATCACACTGAAAACACTCATTTGATCACCCAAATTAAGCAGTGTTAAGGTCACTCAGTACTTAGATGAAGGACCACTTGGGAACACTGGATATTGTAAGCAACCTCTACAATCTGAAATATTCTTTGGCTTTAAATAACCCACAATGGATTGATAAGCCATAAAAAATCAAGCAATATTTAAATACAAATACTTTTGTCATGGGTTGAGTTAGAAAATGTGTTCCAGAAAATAAAGACTCAAATTACCATCAAGATGATGAAAGTTTTGAGTCTAGCCCCCAAAAATGGAACTTATATAAAAGAACTAAATATAAAATACAAAAAAGGAGTTGATTCCATGTGTATTGGAAATGTCTTGAAATCATGAATCTTGTTGCAGAACTGAATCAACTGACAACAAAAAAGTTGAGAAAGGTTTTTAAATATAAAATATTTTTATTTTCATGTTTTTACAACTAAATTTTTCAGAGTATATGAGTGTTAAAATTCTTGTGGTAAAGTTCCTTGTTTATAGTTGTTTTTTAAGATGAAAATAAAGACAATTTCTTCATGTGTATGTGTTAGAAAAAATAGGCAAGGGAAAAAGTAAGGAGGAACGTGTAAATGTCATGTAGCTTTGTGAGAAAGAGCATAACTGTCACATAACCTGGTGAAAAAGATATCTAAATGTGTTAGGGAATCTCTTTGAAGCCACTGTCATGAACTGATGTCCCATGTATTTGTCACTATTTGGATTTCTTCATCTAGAGACTTTGCTTAAATACTCTTCAAAGGGATCACAAAGCATTGTTTTTATTGTTGGCAGGAATGTGGCCTGTTGGTTGAAAAATGTTAAATATTTATTTTCAAAGGATTAATTTATTATCCTCCAACTCAGAAACCATTTTTATTTTGACTATTTTGGTGTTTATTTCCACTTTTCACTCCACAAATCAAAAAGCATTTACCTTAGGGAAAGAGTTAATGTAATTAGCTGACAAGCTAATGTGTGTTTTGGTATATTGGTCTTGTGACAGTGTTCCTTTTGTTTAGTTGATTACAAATCTCTAATAAAAGAAAATAGTTAAAGATTATTACAACAACGATTTGTCCTGTGGACATACCAGACTTGTATTTACATTTGGGAAAGTCTGCATTCTACCAGACAAAGAAGAATATAATTATTATTCCCAATTAGATTATACCAATTTCTCTACCATTTAGATAGAAGCATCATAAGTGGGAATTATATTTGTAACTCAAATTAAACGTGTGTATGGTTCTACAGAGAATACCATTCACTGAACATGTGTACAATGATGAAGTTTTAGGAAAAATGGAAACAAAAATAAATCTTACATTTAGAATCAGAAAGGGACAGTTAAAATATCTAAAATAATCAGAATATAATAAAAATAATCAGAAAGAGACTGTAGAAATATCTAAGGCACATAATGAGGAAAGATGGCTTGGAGAAGTTAACACTCACTGAGCATATTGAAAGTAACAGGGACAGAGGAAAGCAGCAAATAACTTACCTAACAAGCTTGTTGGCAGAACAGGGATTAGGAGAGAGAGCAAAAAGACAATGGTTACTCAGATATACAAAGACAGGAAGTTGTTGACAATGCATCATTTAAATTCAGTTGAATCCATGATTGCCCATATCCTAAAGAATTTGAACGGATCAAGTTCTACTGTGTTTGCTTGCTTTCTCATTGTATTTGTGAACATACAACTACATGTTAGTCAAATTAATGACAACATTTGAATATTTCTATTTTGAAACAATTGTAAACTTATCATTTGGAGCCAGAATGTTCATTTTAACTCTTGGGGATCTTGTTATAGATATTAGAAAATTATTTGAAGTGATTCTAAATTCTGTGCAACTTTCCTAAGAAAGAATATATTTGCAAGCAAAATTTTGTTGAAAAACTGATAGCATGTTCTCTAAAATAAGTTCCTTTCAAATCAGTCTGTATACATGTGTTTTGATTTCCTTTCAATTGAAACAAATTTAAGATAGCAGAAAATGATTTGCTCAACAACTACACAAGAAACTAATAATAAAAATATCCAGCAGCTTTTAAAATTTTTTTAATCCATTGAAAAATATGCTTTGAGTCTTGTGCTCTCGGAACCATTGAGGGTGTGCACTGGCCCAATCTTGTATCTGACGAGAAACTCCACTAGAGGACCGAACAAGCCGAACATCCTCTGCACCATCATTCAGTGCCATGTTTGCTGACTTGGTCATGTTCTGTAATGATCTGATGACAACCCTATGAAAGTCATCTACCATTTCGAAACAGCATCTGCAAACTGGTAACAACCTTGCAGTAGACCATGCAGCAACTGGAATAATGTCAACTGCTAGGACCTTAAGAAGAATAATCTAGTGCAGGGGGATGTTCTGTCGCTCTGTGAAGAATATGGGAGCTGGTGTTAGAAGGTGGCTCTTGTGGGCTCAACACCTTCACGGCTTGAAATTTAACAGCAGCAGCAGTGAAAAATATGAAAATTACATCATAAAATTAAAAATACTAATATTCTAATATTTGATGACTCATTGATATATGAGACTTTAAAAGAATTATTTGTTATTTAAATGAAAGAGTTAAACTCTTTTATATTTGATCTATTCTTGCTGCATTAAAGGGCAAAATATGAAATGATTCATTTTAATTTTGGCCTTCATATAAAAAAAATATAAATTAAATCCAACTTTAAACCTTTGAGATTAAACATGCCATATTGAGGTAATTTTGAGAGTTGAATTCATGCTTATGACTAATGTAATGGCCATTCTGATACTCTTTGTATTGCAAAGGTGGGACGTAAATCAGGAGAATATCTTTTACTAGTGTTTGGTGGTTTATTTGCAAAAAACCCACCTTGGCAAGGGAACGTTTTTAAAGCCAGGATGAAGAACCTTTTCTGCAAGTTGTTGGTCAATTAATATGAGGTGACATAATAGTTATCCATATGGAAAATGAAAATGGTGAGCTAATTTCAAATTATGGCTGAAGTTGGTTATATTCACTTTGAACTAACGACCTTAGGCAGAGCATGAACTTCTGTTTTAACTTTGTCTTATTCTTCAGATATCTTGACAAAATCATATAATAAAATTGATATATATGTTTGTATGGTTGTTACTTAAAATCAATGCCATATTACTAAAGGCAGTTGGGGGAACAGACAAGATTTAGTCATGATTATTTGAACTAGTTTAAACATGCTGATAACCTTGGGATGATGGATTTAAAATTTACGCACAGTGGATAGTCGATCATCAGATATGTGGTGACCTAGTGGCAAGTAATAGTGACCCATGAAAGTATTCGTTGGTATATCATGATGACTGACAAAGAGAGCAGGTGAGCAAAAGCTGTTTCTTGCATTGTCAACTTTGATAAGTTTCAATCAACCACTTTCAAACCAGCAAGATGAAACTATATAATTTAAAAAAACATGCTATAACGAAAGTGATTTTACAAGTAGTAGTTGAAGGAAGAAACAAGATTTGGAGGAGTTTTACTATTAGGGGTGGCAGAGAATCATTAGATTTTAAATATTTAGACTTAAGTAAAAAAAATATCATAAAACCACAAGTTCTGCTGATTTGGTAGCAGTATGCATCTTTGCTTATTGACAACTAACATGTCTTTTTCTTCAAATAGATGCTGTGTTAGTAAAAGCATTTAAAAAAAACAGGCCCTCAAAGTGAGAGAGATGTGGTTTTATAGGTGAATGCTTCAAATAACATAGATAAAACACAAGAGCAATGAGAAAGTTAAAAAAAAAAAATTGAAAACTAGAAAGAGACAACTGAAATTTCTAGAACACATTATGAGGAAGGATGGCTTGGAAAATTTAATACTCACATGACATATTGAGAGAAGGAGGATTGTTGGTCAATTTGTTTTCTATGATAGAGAGAGAGAAGTAAAAGCAAATGAGAGAGAGAGAGAGAGGGAGGAAGAGAAAATGAATGAGAGAGAGAGAGGAAGAGAAAGTGAATGAGAGAGAGAGAGAGGAAGAGAAAGTGAATGATTGATTGATTCATTTTCTATGGCTTATCAACTCTTTGCAGTTTATTTAAAGCCAGAAAATATTTTTAGACAGTAAGAATTTTTTGCAGGGTGGGGAGATAATAATCGTTTAGTGATTCAAATCTTACTAATTAACTCATAGCTGGGGAGTGAGGAAGTGGTGGATTCATGTCTTTTCCAAAAATATTTTGCATGAAATATGAATATAACAAACCAAAAGGGAATTAAAAATTCCAAGCCATTATCCATTACACCATCCGCACATCCAAGCCTGCAGCACCTGGTATTCCCAAATGGTTACACATCTAATTACTGACCAGACTAGCATTGCTTAACTTCAGTGATTGTATGGGAACCAATGTTTCAACATGTGTAAACTTTTGGCAGGACAGGAACAAGGAGGAATAATAAAGAGTCAAATGTTGCTTTGAGCTACAAAGGACAGGAAGATGTGGAGGGCTGTGATTACCCATATCCTGAAGAGACACAACATATAGATGATGATACTGATCTGTTATGGTGAATATAATAAAATCAAAGCTTTTCTGAGTTATCTATATCTGTTTGTAACTGATTATATGGTTGTTACTTAAAATTGATGCCATATTAGTAAGAGCAGTTGAGGGAACAGACAAGATTTGGTCATGATTATTTGAACTAGTTTAAACATGAGTAGCTGCTGATAACCTTGGGATGATGGATTTAAAATTTACGCACAGTGGATGGTCGATCATCAGATACGTGGTGACCTAGTGGCAAGCAATAATGACCCATGAAAGTATTCGTTGGTGCCTACTGCATGTTGGAGGCATGAAGTGCCATTTGTAATTTGTTGACTGTTCAAGCAAACACTTAACAAAATCAGCTGGCTACTTTGGAGTGCCATGATGAATTAGAAAGTAATTAAGAAGTGTCACACTTAATTCTAAAAGTTGATTTGCATACTCACTCACTTAGACTGAGTGCCCTTGGCTCTTCTCCTCCCACTCCCAACTCTCTCCCTCTCTCATTTTGGTCATTTCTTCATTTGGTAGTGAATACTTTTCAATGGATCCTAGTCTTGGCTTTGGTAGTCTTTTATTCTAAGTGAAATAGAGACAAAAGGTGGCACAATGTTATAGGACTTGAGTTACACTACACTCAACCTGTTAATATTACATTAATAAAGGTTATGAATCTTTTGCTTCTTTTAGTTTCTTTTTCCTTTTCTTCCTTCTCCTTCACTCCCCACTCTTGCTCTTCTTTCATAGACTTTATAGTGAGTTCGATCCTCACTGGGTGCAACATACTTGCGGCCTTGTGCCATATGGTTTCAAGTTTTAACGGAGAGCCAAGTTCCAATTCAAGTCAGGTTCATCATATTCACTTAGGTGCAAATACCTTTCAGAAAAGTATGAAACCACCTCTTCTCCCTCCCACCTATGGGATAAATAGTAAGACTTGTGTCAGAAAGTCATTATCATCTCCAAAATTTCTTACAATCCAAAACTATGTTTTAGCTTTAAATAACTTAAAAAAGGTTGATAAGCCATAAAAAACAAATCAATCAATCAGTTTCTTTTACTCCAATTCCTTCTATTTTCCTCTTGGCTTAGTTTATTTTTTGTACTTTTCTTTCTTTTTATTTTCCATTCTTCATTTTTCTCTTTCCCTAATTACTCTTTTGCTTACTTTTCCTTCTATTGTTACTTTCTCTCTCCTCCTTCTTTCCCTTTATTTCCTCCTCCTTCTATGTTCCCTCTTCTTCCTTCTCCTCCTTTCCACCCTGCTTCTGCTATCCCTCCTCCTCCTTTCCCTCCTCCAAAACTGATTCTAATCTTTCTCTCCCATTTTACTTTTCTTTTCTCATATTATCTCTTCAGGTTCTCTTCTTTAGTTCTTCACTCGGTTGTAAGTACCTCGTCTTGACTTTAGTAGCCAAAATGTGCATTTTAAGCAGGAAGAGAGCAGAGCCTGGCATTTGACATGATGATGGAAATCACATGTGTCTTGTTATCAGATACACATTGGTTGCAGTAGCTTTGAGTGAACTTACTCAGAAAAAGGCCTCCTCAAGAGGTGATTACATTTTAAACACATTCTATAATCTGTGATAAATTCTGATTAGGATCTGTATCATCACCAAACCAAAATTATATGCAGATCTATTTATTAGACTGTAATTAACAATAAAAGAATAACTGATATGTGCAAGAAGACAGTAACTTTGTAAGTATGAAAATGTATAATATGTATACATACACTGACAAAAAAGTAAAATTTTAACTCAGAATTATGATGTTGATTTTGACTTACAGTGTGTGTGGGTGCATGGGAAAATAGTTAGAACATTAGAATTTTATTAGCCATTGTCAAGGATGTTTTTCTTTTAATTTTTAACTGTTTATGTAAATTTTTATATAGTTGTAACTATAGTAATTGGAATGTTTTCCAAACAGGGTCAGCACATTGTGGCCATGTTCATAGTTGATAGTATTGCCTTTATCTTTTTTATTATTAACATATATTATCAATATACATATATTTATATTCAAACATGTTTCATTAAATAATATAGATATATCGTGTCTACTTATTTTTATACTGATCCTTTCTAGTTGTCTAATTAGTTTCTTGATGTTAAGATGAAATTCATCAAGGAAGGCACCATAGTTTATGTTAACCCAAGTACTTTCAATCTTTTCCAAGATCATCTTCAGGAGTAAATTACAAAGACGGACTTATTCTAACTGTGATAAAATCTGTATTCCATTGTGATGGGGATTTTTAAAAACACATGCAAACGCTCTCCATAATTATTTTCAAATTTTAAATTTATCTGTTGTAGTTAAAGAATTTTTTCCAAAATAAGTGTTTCAGTATAAGGGAGCTGACCAGAAATTGTTATAAATATAAAATGGCATTATATATATATATATATATATATATATATATAACTTATAACTTATATATATATATATAGAAATATAAATAAAACTTGAAACTGATATATATATATATATATATATATATATATATATAATAAATCGAGAAAACCTTAAAAATCCATCTTGGTTATAATTTGTTTCATCAATATTTTAATATTCATCTCTTCAGCCCAAAAAAGTTTTTATTGCTCTGTAACTTACATTGAGCTCTCTTTGAATAATGTCCTCCTTGGAATTATCCCTACAAATTAAAAATTGAATTATATATATATATATATATATATATATATATATATATATTATATTATATATATAGTCTTTGTCCCCACCAAGGCGAATTGTGACACAAGGTCTTTTTTAATATGGAGACACAAGCGCGTACACCCACACAAGAAGGCACAAAAATTGCCCGCAACCCGCATAACTGTCGGTTGTGCTGGCCTCGGTCCAAGCACCAATCCCTCTCTCTGGTGCAATGAGAGGGCATGGCCTTGGGCAACTGTTCCTCAGGGCTGGGCACCTCTCAGTATAATTTTCCTCATTTGCGACTCTGTCCTTTGATGGAGTTGCCCCTGAGTGCACTCTGCCCAAGGACAGAGACGCAACTGAGAGATGATAAATAGACATGTTACAAACCACATATACATATATATATATATATATATATATATATATATATATATATATATATATATATAGCAAAGAGACTGAGACATCCAGACAGACAGAAATGAAGATCACATTGGACTCACTACCATAAAAGAATAACAAATATCTGTCTCATACACACACACACATATATATATGGCTTATGGTTACATTATATTCAAACAATAGGTCCTGTACAATGACAAAAAGTTAAGCAATAATGACACCGGTCAGTACCTAGATGAATGACTGCTTGGGAATACCTGGTGCTGTAAGCCTGGATGTATGTGTAGTATTATGGATAATGGCTCGGACTTGTTAATTGGTGAGCTGAGTTCCATTTCCTATTGGGTTCACTTACATGCAAATACCCTTGGGAAATGTATGAATCCACTTTATTTTCCCTCCAGCTATGGGTTAATTAGTAAAACTTGCATCCCTAAACCATTATTATCTCCAAAAAAAACAATTCTTACAATCTAAAAATATTTCCTGGCTTTAAATAACCTTTAAAGGATAAATCATACAAAAACAAATCAATCAACCAATTAAAAAATGCATAACGTCATTTGAAAATCTGAAACCAATGCAGCACTAAAGATGCTATCTTTTTCATAATGGCTTATGAAAGCAAAAATTATACAAACATGAGACAGTTTATATTTAAACTTTCACATGATGACACAAGGAAAATGCTCTAAAATATATGAAAAATCTTTTAACAAAGGATTTTATTTGGCCTTTAACCAAATTTGTTTGTGCATATATATATAAATATATATATAGAGAGAGAGTGAGTGCAAGAGACAGACAGAAAGAAAGAGAGAGAGAGAGAGAGAGAGAAATGATGATGATGTGTTTAAAAATAGAAATTGAAAAATCTTAATTTATAAAAATTCCATTGTTTTTCAGCCATCTTTAAATGTAACATTTGTGTTGGATCACAGCAGTAGGTCTGCCATATTTAAGAGGATTCTTTTTTAATCAGTCTACCCTGAGAAAGGCGATAATGCCACTAAGATGCAAGGGGCTACTGGGAATGAATGAGAATGAAGAGATCTGTCTATATTTCTGAGATGAGTTATCATAACTATTTACATTGTTCAGATTGTTGTCCTCATCTTTATTGTCATATTCACAAAATGTAAATAGTGTCAATAGAATGAAAAGACATTAGAAGAAACTGGAATCCCAATCCTAAACAAGAAACAAGGGATAAACATCTACTCCTGTTCAAAAGATCAGGGAGGCGTATGAACTGGATGATAGGTGAATCTAATTACTCCTATTAGGGAGATTTATTTTCAGTTGCACAACCAGTTTCCAAAGTCTCACTAAAGATGGCTCCTCCCCATAGAAGAAATGGAATAGAAAACATGAAGTATATCATTAAAAAAGATGTAACAAACATGCAAAGCACTACTATCTCTGGGTAGCAATAAAACTGCTGCAAGGAATGTTAAAGTCAGAAGATTAGAAAAGTCAACAAAATCAATGGGCAAAAAGTAATTAAAAGAAAAGAATGATTTACTATTGTGTCATATCTATTTTCCTGCATAGCAGAAATCATTTCCTTATAGATGAAGAAGAGACTAGAAATAACAAAGTTGTAGTTTTTCTATGAATACTTTCATGATAACTTTCCTCTATGCTACATATAGGAACTAGTTAGGACTTCATAGAGACTTTGAGGTATTATGGTGACTGTAATAAGAATGGTAAGTAAAAATGTGTTGTTTTGGTGAAAGGAATACTGTAGTATGTTTGGGTCAGTAAAAGTGGTTAGCTAAATT